CTCGCTGACGCAACAATACATTAAAGGACGATTTATTGTCTTTTACACAGAGAGGATATATTAACCATGGACCTAATCAGCCCCAGACAACAGGAAGCCCCTTCCAGACCCCGCATCTAAACCCTAATGCAGACATCTCAGTCCTGTCAGAAGTCACATTCCAGACATGAGTGTCAGCAATAGGGGTGATCTAGTACAAAAGAAGCCACAGGAATTCGATAGGAAGGCAACATTGGAAGCGTATAGAGCACAATTTGAGCTACTGGCAGAAATGAATGGATGGACAAAGGAGCAGAAAGCAGTATATTTGGCAACGAGCTTGAAGGGACAACCAATGTAAATACTTGGACAGTTGTCAGCAGATGACAGGCACAACTATAAAGCACTGCTAGCGGCTCTAGAACTCAGGTATGGAACCCAAAACCAGTCTGAAGTATACAGGGCTAGGTTTAGGACGAGAGTCCGTGCTAAGGGGGAGAGACTGCGAGAGCTGGCACAGGATTTGGAAAGTATGGCACACAAGGCCTACCCAACTGCGCCACCTGATGTCCTCAATTTGTTGCTGAGGGATCAGTTTGTAGAAGCCTTGGACAGTCCACAACTGAAGATACAAGTAAAGCAAGCACACCCTCTACAATGTAGGATGCAATGGCCAGAGCTCTCGAATTTGAATCCTACGTTAAGTCCAGCACAGAGGTACCAAGGGTGGTACAGTCATCAGGATTCAAGACCAGAAAAGGGCAGCTTTTATAGAAGTTTGAAGGACTTTGCTGGAACTGTAACAAACAAGTGCACAAGAGAGTTCAATGCTGGAAACTTCAACACAGGGAAGATGCCATGGCAGGAAAGGCTACTACCCAGAAAGGTTGTTGTAACTGTGGAGAGCAAGAACATATGAGGAGGCAGTGTAAGAAGAATACTACCAATAAGCCAGCCTTGGGGAAACCAGTAGTGGTTCGTGTTGATGGACGCCTACTAACCCCAATTGTGAACGTACCAACAGCTAAGTGTAAAATGCCAAACACACATAGTGTCTATGTGACAGAAAAGCTGGATGGCCAAAGGTGCAACTTTGTCATAGATTCTGCATCTGAGCAAACCCTTGTGACTATCAAGGTGCTAGATCACAAAGGAATATCCAGAAGCCGTACAGAAGCTTTGTGGTGTGACAAGACATTATGCAAGGTTGTGGGGACCAGTGAGAGTAACTATTGAGCTCATGGGCATAAAGGACAGACACAAAATATACTTGGCTGACATTGAAGACCCATGCATATTAGGGTTGGACTACTTACTACCGAGGAAGTGTGTAGTTAACTTCGATAAAATGATGTTTGGGATCAACAAAGACCAAATTCCGGTAAGTGTTAAAAGAGTGGTTGAACTAACCCGGTGTCATCAAGCTGAAGTCAAAGTGACTGAAAGAGTTGATGATGGTGAAGTGGGACCAGGTATAGATATTAAATCAGAGCAGGAAAAATACCAAGATTTGAAGCCAATAATTGATTTTCTAAAAGCAAGTGTTTTGTGCCCTGCTTGGGAGAAGGTGTTTAGCTTAAGCCCTGTGAGAAAGACCTATTGAGCACAATGGGACCAGTTGAAGCTTGAAAAT